GTCTCTCGTCTCCATACACACACACACCGCGAAGAGCAAGTAATGTATTCTAAATGTGATGTGTAATTAATATTTTCTTGTAATGTATTCTCGATCCAATCATAATTGCATCTAAAATAAAGAGTTATTTACATCAGAAACCATATGTATTCTATCCGACATTTCTCTCGCAGATTTGCAATTTATAAAACATATTTCCCAATCTTTTTTCCATACATTTTATTATGTTTTATACATTTGAACTATAAATCAATATGTACATTATGTTTTATATGCTGTTTATATACTGTACCATATTACAAAATTATCGACTTCTATATATATATATATATACTTCTTCTTCAGATGATAGTAGTATTGTATTTATGTACAAGTATTGAAATAAAGTTCCATCCTTTCTTTCTATATACATAGCATCAATTATAAAAATTTTGAATTAACGTTTGTCGTCAATTTATCTGTTTCTATAATATCGACAAAATTTTTTGAACCCTTTTGCCGAACAGAAAGGGTTATGCTTGCACCGCTTTCATGCCACTTTGCTTTTAGCAATACGCAACATCCTTTACCTGTAAAAAAAAAAAAATGTTAGAAAAATGATGCAATATATAAACCAGGCAATATATATAAAGAAATTAGATACCAAGCTGCCCGCGTTCGTGAGCTGCTGCTAATTGATTGACAACACGCCTTTCTACTTCGTACTTAATAGAACGAGCACCATAATGGGCATCGTACCCATCTGCCAATACCGATAGGATCTCTCTTTCCCATTTTAATTCGATCATGTGCCTTTCTTTTGCACGCGTAGCCCACGCTTCCAATTCCCGGGTGACTAATTTTATTAACTCTGCTCGGGAAAATGGTAAAAAGTATACTATTTCGTTTATTCTTCCCAGAAACTCATCTCTCCGAAAATGAGCTTTCAGTATCGGACGTACCTGTGAGGCGATTTTATTATGCAACTTTCCAATTTATGCTTAAATTAAGTCATCTTTTGCTTTTATTTCTAGTGTACATACCACTTGATCTTTAAAGTTACGAGATATCTCAATACGTTCTGGTTCTTGATCTTCATCAGAAGTATTACTTAGCCTATGGTTTAATAATCTTTCAGCTTCTGTTCTAAGTTGCATTGCATACTCTGCAATTTCTTCGCTTCCTAAATTTGATGTCATTACGAAAATGGCGTTTTTGCATTCGATTGTCTTTCCTTTACCATCAGTCAATCTTCCCTTAAGAGTAAAAGTAATTGCTTTATTTAAAAACACCATAAGAATAGACAAATATGATTTAAGTTATGAATAAATACTTCATCAAAGAGCTGTAGTAGAATAGTCAAAACATCAGGGTGGGCTTTGTCAACCTCATCGAATAGTACAACAGCAGAAGGATGTTTTTTTAAAAGTTTGGTTAATTGTCCACCATCATCATGTCCCACATATCTATAATAATAAATTTAATAATTACTAATATATTAAAAATATAAAATTTTTAATATAATACATGCAAACTTAAGACATATATGCTTGGAAAATAATTAAACTGAAAAATTAAAGTATAACAATAATAATAATAATATAGATTATACCCCGGTGGTGCTCCAATTAATTTTGCAACCTCATGTTTTTCCTGATATTCAGACATATCCAATCGAATAAAACTGTCTCGTTTATCCTTGTGAATGTAAGCAGCTAATTGTTTAGCTAATTCCGTCTTGCCAATGCCTGACGAACCCAAGAAGAGAAATACCAGTGGATGCTCTTCATCTATCCAACCATTTTCCTTCCTCCTAATAGCTAATAATATTAAATAATATAATAATTTGTAATAAATGTTTTGTTAACTATTTCACAATAAAAATAGTTAAATAATCTTACTAGAGGCAACAATAGAAATTGGTCCTTCCTGCCCAACAATATGTTGCTTCAAACGTTGTTCCAATGGAAATCGACGACGTTCCTCCGCATCCTAAACCAGACATTCTTGTTTATATGTGCAAATATTCCTGCTTTCACGTAATCTTGCACATAAAAGACTTGTATGACTAAAGAAATATAATTTTGTGATATATACCTTCTCTTTTACTATTTCATCGTATTTAATAGCATGTTTGATAAGCATTTCTTTGATTTCTCCTTCTGTAGCATACTCAACTGCTCGATGGCCAGCTTCATTTTCTACAGTTGGATTTGCTCCTCCATCTAATAATGCTTTCACACATATTTTTGAATCAGCCAACACAGCATAATGCAATGCTGTAAAACCTTGAAACGTAGCACGATTATTCAATCGATCAGAAAATTCTTCCTCTCGCTTCATAAGGACTGAAACATCCAATATAAAATCAATTATTAATATAAATTCTACATATATTGTACAAAAGGTGCACATATTCTTGAGTTTTAATATTTATAAGAGGATGGAATATATGGAATATTATAAATAATATAGAATATAAGTACCATCCAAAGAATGTAAGCCCATTTCCATAGCAGTCCTATATACATTAACAAAATTATCTCCTGCATTTACATCAGCGCCATTTTGCAACAAAATTTTAATGACTTCTACTTTCTGATTTATAGCAGCAGTATGTAATGCTGTCCAACCCAATGGGTGTCTAATATTTATATCAATGCCATCTGCTATAGTCTGAAACATATAGTACTGTCAGTATCTCCTTACTTTTTTAAGAATAACTATCTATATGAGAAAATAATTAAAAAATAAAAAGTTTCTAATGAAAATTACAATTATGATTCTCTTCAAGCTATGTGGTAACTTTAGATAATACCTCTCTTAAAAATTTACATTTTTATCAAAAAACTTACCTTTTTTAATTCTGAAATATTACCATACTGAGCAGAACGAAAAAATCTCTTTTCTGCAAAGAATCATACATTATTATTTCTTCATTTATTCATATTAATGTTATATATACTTTTCACACACTCACATACATCAATAATATATACAATAAGACACCTACCTGTTAAATTTGGGGCATCGCAAAATGCTACTATAAATCCAAGACTGCTTAAAAGGATTCCAAGATGCTTGTAATGTCTTCTGTACTTGTAGTCGTATTTTCTGTATTCTTCTTTCGCTGTTGTTGAAAGTTTCACGGGACAATCGGACAATACCCTGTCCAACAATCTGTACAGCGGATAAATCTGCGATGCCAGTTGTGAGGAATACTGAGTATAACCTCTCTGACACATCGCGCTGTTTGCTCGATCACTGTATTTAAGGTGAAATCGGCTCAAAACGCACTCCGGCGTTCTAGCGTTTTTCATCATGGAGCATAATTTCAATACGTATAATCGTGACATTTCGATCTGTCAATTTTTGCGCCGAGTTTGCCACTGTGTTGCCGACTAATTTGAAAACGTCACACGTGTCGAGCGTCGACGCAAACGGATGTTAGATTATTACAGATTACAGATAGTTGCTATAACAACATAACTGTCTTTATTTGGCGTCGGTTTATTATGTTTACACGATCCACACAACTGGAATTAATCGATAATTTTTACAGTGTGTCATGAATATCATCTCTATAGCAACAAGTAACGATTTCGCCAATCTTCTGAAAATATAGAAAATATTTCGTAAGAAAGTTCTAAAAAAATCTCGATGGGACATAATAGCAAATAATCTAACTATTTTTTTACAAATAAGAGAAACTATTTTTTTTATATATTATAATAAATATCAGAGCAACACACACAAGATATATATTTCTCTCTGTCTCTCTTTATTCTCTCGATCTTTTTTTTTCTACTATA